GTTCGGATTTTAGGGTTTTAGGGTTAAGGGATTCGGGCTTAGGGTTTAAGGATTACATGAGGATATATGAAGGTGTACAGGGATGTATAAGGGTAGAGGATTTGATGGGACTCTCTGTCTCTAGGGTACAGCTCTAGCGGGAACGGGCTTACGCTGCTGGGTTTATTGTTCGGTGTTTTGGAGGCTGGGGTTCAGGGCTTTTGCCTTGGGACTGTTGCTTTTGGGGCATTAGGATGTGGGTTGCGGGCTTGCTGTTTGGGGTTCAGGGCTTGACTGCGCTGTGAGGTGGAGAAATTAGGGCATTAAGGAGTAGCGTTTAGGGATTTTGGGATGGGGGCTGAGTGGAGCCTGGGTGGCTTATGGACTTTACCCTGGCGGGTCGAGGGGGTCTGATTTTCAGATCATGCAGCCCAATCTAAGCCCCAAACTATTAAAATCCTTAGTATAGCACCCCCAGACACGTACCCCTAACTTTGGGGCACCCCCATATGACTAACCGCAGCCTCGAGATCGAGACCTCCGGGACGATTCGCCTCTGCAGCAGCCTGGTCAAGTTCGAGCGCTGAGAATTCTCAGGGCCAAGGGTATAGGTCCTTCCCCTAATAGTAACCCGCCACCAACTCATAATGGACACCAACAATATAGTACCACATAGTACCACTATGTAATCTTTATGGGGGAATCTTGAATGATTTGAGGCTTTAGGGTTTGGGACCGGAGGGGGTTTGGGTTTAATGAAAGGTTCAGAATTTAGGGTCCAGGCGTTCACTAGATGGCAGGCTTACCATGTTTTATGTTGGGGCCTCTAAGCCTACATCTACATCTGGGCCATGGGGTCCAGGACCAATCATACACCAAAAGCTTCTGTGCAGTTACAGCCAATGTTTATGCATTAAACTATTCAAACAGAAACCCTACATCCTAAGCCACACCTGCAGGGGAAGCATTCAGATTGCCAACCATAGGTGCTCAAACTGCAGCTGCTTACCTGGAAAGCAGGGAACGGAGTGGATCCTTAAGTAAAGTAGCCCTGTATGGCTTATACCCCAAAACCAACAGCCTGCAAGCCCAGCAGACTGAAGCCCCTCAAAGCGTTTCAAGTCCCTTTGAAAACCGCGCTTCTATGGGGTTCCATGATAATCCCGAATCGCCAAAACTCACACTCTAGCCCAAACCTAAAACCGCACTCCCCAAACCCTAAACCTTTATCCCCAAGCCCTCAAACCTCAACTCTAAGTAAACCTACGACATTTGAGTCTCCACCCCAAGCCTCCAACTCTTTGAGGATGGCTGTGGCAACTCTCTGCCGGGACCTTTTGAGTAGGTCCAATGGTTCAAGGCTTCGGAGTTCAGGGTGAGAAGTTTCCAAAGGTTCCAGACCCTAAACCCTAAACATACTTGATGGTTAAAGACTTCGTGTCCAGGTCACGATTTACGGTCCTAACAAGGGAAAATCATCTCAACTTTGGGTCCGGAAGCTTCGCGGTATAGGGTTTAGGGTATCTACTTCG